ATATAATTGCATCGACAAACAAACCACAAAAGGGAATCAAACTACTAAAAGGTCATCGTCAAACCACAAATCAGAGCCGAGTAACATGAAAAGTTATCCACAAATGCATAATGGGTATCCAAATCCAATCTGAGGGTCTAAAGCAGAGAAGATCGACAATATAACATATAAGTGTCATCTTGATCAGTCGTGTCGACGTCAGATCTGTAACACCCTTGTTGAATTATGTTTCGATATAACAAATTTAAGGCAAAATGGTTTTTGGACTTGAATTGAATTTACAAAATGTTTTTGGACTTAATTGAATTTATTCAAAGTTTTAAAAGGTTTAAAAAATAATTCAAAGTCCATTAAATTCGGATTTGAGCCAAAATGCTAAAGGGTGTCAAAGTACATCCATGCACCCCTGCAGTGCATCCATGCATCCCTACAGTGCATCCATACACATGCACTAGTGCATCGATGCATCATGCAGTGTATCAATGCACTCAAACACCGAATGCAATTAGTCCATCGATGCATCCTTCTGTGCATCGATGCATCAAGGCTGTGCATCGATGCATCCTGTTGTGCATCCATGCACGAAGGCTGCAACGGCTAGTAACTGCTAGTTTATTTGAATTTAATGAAGGGGTATCGATGCACCATGATAGTGCACCGATGCACCATGTTATGGGCAACCTTTTTGAGTAGAAAAATCATCCCCAAACGGCTCCAAAACATCCCCAACGGCTATATACAACATCAAACACATTCCAAGCTATAAATACAATCTAAGGACACTTGAAGAATGAAGAGAACAACTATCCAAGCAATCAAACACAAGAGAAGAGTTTTTCATTATTATTTCATCTTTCTCTTGTAAATATTTTGTTCTTGTGAGCTCAATCTTATAAACACCTACCTTAGAGAGGTTTTCTTGTTTACTTATTTTATCCTTTTGTAAAGGGAAATGTTCTAGCTAATCCCGTGTAAAAGCTAGGGAAAGGTTATTGTTTAGCCCGGAAAAACTAGGGAGTTTGTAAGGTTACTCTTTATCCTCAAAAGAAAGAACAAATTAGTGAATTTGTTGGAAAATTCTTGGTAAGGAGCTAAGGTAGTGGACGTAGACTTTGGTTGAGAAAGTTGAACCACTATAAATCGCTGTGCAATTCTCTATCTTTCAATCTCCTTACTCCCTAAACACAAAACTATTCCAACCCCTCTTTGCAAACCGTTCCGATTGTCGATTCAAGCTTCCGAAAATCCCAAAAATTGGTATCAGAGCCTAACTCGTTAAGAATGTTTAACCACCTTGAGACGATCCTCGAAGAAGATCTACCAATTCCCGACGCAACCGACAAAGAAATGACTTTTTCCTCCGGTGCTTATTATCTTGAAGAATCTCCTATTATGGATTCACAACCGGTCAACAAGCCACCCTTCTTCAATGGAGCAAATTATCCACATTGGAAGAACAAGATGATGTACTTTATTTAATCCTACAATCTAGGAGCTTGGTATTCAATCATGGATGGTTACTCCTCTCCAACCGGCAAGTACAACGATTGGAGTAGAGAAGAGCAGAAAAATTTTCAGCTTAATTCTAAGGCTATACATATTCTATTTTGTGCTTTAGGTCCAAATGAATATGGAAGAGTCTCATCTTGTTCTAGTGCCAAAGAGATTTGGGATAAGCTCCAAGTTACTCATGAAGGAACCGACAAAGTGAGGGAATCAAAGAAAAGTCTTCTCAACCATAGCTACGAGAACTTCAAGATGAAACCCGATGAAGACATCAAAGCTATGACGGATAGATTTTCTGTGATTGTCAACGGTCTCAAGGGATATGGAGAAGTAATCCCTAATGAGAAGCTTGTGAGAAAGATGATCTACTCTCTTCCAAAGGAGTGGCAATCAAAGAAGACGTCCATTATCGAAGCAAGAAACTTAATGTCTCTCACTCTCGACGAGCTAATTGGTTCCCTCCTCACTCATGAGATGATGGTGAAGGAAGATGAAGAAAGGGAAGAGAAGAAGAAGAAGAAGAAGAAGAAGGAGGAGGTAGGCATTGCCTTCAAATCCACCAATGAAAGCTATCAAGATTCAAGTGATGAGGTGGATGAAGACGATGATGAACAAGAAGAAGAGATGGTCAAGCTCTTGAAGGAACTCAAGAGATTCATGATTTCCAAGGAAGTGAAACATGAATCAACCAAGAAGAAGAGTCCCCTGATATGCTTCAATTGTCAAAGAAATGGGCATGTCAAGTATGAATGTCTTCTTCTAAAGAAAAAGGGGAAGAAGACATTTGTTGCATCATGGAGCGATGAAGATAATTCCAATGATGAAGATAAAGTAGTCAACCTATGCCTCATGGCCACTCAAGAAGAATTCGAGGTATCTTCTAACTCAAATGAATTTAATTCATTTACTTTTGATGAGTTACAAGATGCTTATAATAGGTTGTATTTGGGATTTGAGACCATGAATTCCAAATATACAAAATTAATTTCAAAACTCAAAATTGAAAATAAATCGATTTTGAAAGCTAGAGTTGATTTTGAAAATCAAAATGAAATTTTGAAAAATGATTTAGAGCTTTCAAAAATCAAAATAAATGATTTAGAAAAGACAATTTTGAGTTAGGAGTTAAGCTTAAAAGCTTAACAAAAGAAAAAGAATTAATTTCTAAAAACAACTTATTATGTTTAGAAATGACAAAATGCTCACATTGTCATTTTCATGGTCATAAGGAATATACTTGTCCTTTGAATAAAGGAAAACATTTTAAAATTAGGCAAGTATGGGTTTCGAAAGGAACAAGGGGCATTGAAACTAACGTTCAAGGATCCAAAGCAATTTGGAAACCAAAATCGAAATAAATGTCTCTTGTAGGTGTGTGAGAGCAATGGTGATGAAAGTGATGATATTCAAGATGCTCTAGCCACACATGAAAAAGGAATGGGTAACCTCTAAGCTTAATATTTTTTTTAATTTTAGTTATTTGGTTGCTCATAGGATTTATGCATGCATGAGTTTTGATTTTAAATGATTATGCGTTGTTTTTAATCTCATGTATGTTAAAAAAAATGGTTATGAAGAACATTTTTAATTTTTAATTTTTTTTTCAGTTCATCATAATAAAATTTTGGTCAAAATTGGTTTTAATGCAAATGATATCTCTCTAACAATTGATATCAAAATTTTCAAATACTTTGATTTTACAAATTTTAATTTTTGACCTAAATTTGAATGTTTATGCATGTGGTTTAAATGAAAATGATATCTATCTAACAATTGATATCAAATTTTTTTTATGCATAACATTTTTGGAAAAACTTTATGCATATGATCTTAAATTCAACAATTGATATTGCATAAAGTATTTTAGACTTGGATATATTGAATTTCATGTGCTACTAACATAATTGTTATTCTTTGATGAAATTCAATTTTGTTTAAGTGTCATGTTCTTAAAAGCTAATTTTTGTTTGGAATGCATTTATTGAGGGGGATCTTTGATTTTTCAAATGATTTTTAAATGTCAAATTTACCACTTACTCTCCAAAGTTATTTTGAACTTCAAAGATCGAATTATTTTTGATATAACAAAAAGGGGGAGAAGTTTGGTTTGAAAAATTCAATTTCCAAATGAAAAAGGGGGAGCTTAACATTTTCATATATTTTCCAACAATTGTTAACAATTGGTATTTTTTTTCATTAAACATTTTATTAAGGGGGAGTTTTGCCAAAAACAATTTTTTAAATGTTTTGTTATATCAAAAAGTGGGAGATTGTTGAATTATGTTTCGATATAACAAATTTAAGGCAAAATGGTTTTTGGACTTGAATTGAATTTAAAAAATGTTTTTGGACTTAATTGAATTTATTCAAAGTTTTAAAAGGTTTAAAAAAATAATTCAAAGTCCATTAAATTTAGATTTGAGCCAAAATGCTAAAGGGTGTCAAAGTGCATCCATGCACCCTTGCAGTGCATCCATGCACCCCTGCAGTGCATCCATGCATCCCTGCAGTGCATCCATGCACATGCACTAGTGCATCGATGCATCATGCAGTGCATCCATGCACTCAAACACCGAATGTAATTAGTGTATCGATGCACAGAAGTGCATCGATGCATCAAGGCTGTGCATCGATGCATCCTTTTGTGCATCCATGCACGAAGGCTGCAACGGCTAGTAACGGCTAGTTTATTTGAATTTAATGAAGGGGTATCGATGCACCATGATAGTGCACCGATGCACCATGTTATGGGCAGCCTTTTTGAGTAGAAAAATCATCCCCAAACGGCTCCAAAACATCCCCAACGGCTATATACAACATCAAACACATTCCAAGCTATAAATACAAGCTAAGGACACTTGAAGAATGAAGAGAACAACTATCTAAGCAATCAAACACAAGAGAAGAGTTTTCCATTATTATTTCATCTTTCTCTTGTAAATATTTTGTTCTTGTGAGCTCAATCTTGTAAACACCTACCTTAGAGAGGTTTTCTTGTTTACTTATTTTATCCTTTTGTAAAGGGGAAATGTTCTAGCTAATCCCGTGTAAAAGCTAGGGAAAAATTCTAGTTTAGCCCGGAAAAACTAGGGAGTTTGTAAGGTTACTCTTTATCCTCAAAAGAAAGAACAAATTAGTGAATTTGTTGGAAAATCCTTGGTGAGGAGCTAAGGTAGTGGACGTAGACTTTGGTTGAGAAAGTCGAACCACTATAAATCGCTGTGCAATTCTCTATCTTTCAATCTCCTTACTCCCTAAACACAAAACTATTCCGACCCCTCTTTGCAAACCGTTCCGATTGTCGATTCGAGCTTCTGAAAATCCCAATAACCCTAAACCAATACAACACACAATCAACTGATTTGGGTGCCACATGGAACCACCGAAGTGGCTGACCAACATTTTTCTTCTTTTTCTTAACTTAAAACAACCATTTTCTTTATAAATCAACTATGAAAATATAATTAAAATTGTACATCGAGGAGCTCCCAAACTAAATATTTACATTCAAAAATAATAACACATACCAACTTAAAAATACATTTATGACTCAACTTTACAATAGGGTTTATAAATATACATGTCCTTCCAAACTTGAGACATACTATGATCTGCACTTGGTCTGGACCTCGGTCGGTCGCTCTAAGGCTCCTCGACTGCTCCACCTAATATGCATAAGAAAACAAATTTCAAACGTTGAGCTAACTAGCTCAGTGCCACACTAACAACTAAATCTTACTAACAGTATATCATTGAAAGGCTCAAGCTATAAAATCTATTGCTTTGCATTAGTGAGTATACTAGTATACTCACTCTTTACTCTATGGTAGACATCATGGTTCTTCTGAGGGTTCTACATCTTACTAACATTATGTCACTTAAAGGCTCAAGCTATCAAGTCTATTGCTTTGCTTTAGTGAGTATACTCGTATACTCACTCTCTACTCTATGGTAGACATCATGGTGCGTCTGAGGGTTCTATATCTTAGAGCTCACACACCCCTCTAATCTACCGAGGATGGTGCTCGAAATCTCTACATCGGTCAACACCCTCGTCTAACCCACCCCTTGCGAATGTCAAGCATTGGCCCTAGTTAGTCAGCTTAAACTACCTTGTGTACTCCCTAAGGATAATCGGACTGATTCTATACTTTCGACATCGCTATATTTTTTAAAGGAACTTAGGTGTCCTGATCGTTTCTTGAGCATTCAAACAAAGCTAGTTTTATATCATCCTACATTATCTTGTTTCTACACTTGATTAAGCATTATTATTGTTCTCGCTTGTAGTCTTATTCGAAAGTAATTATAAGCTTTTGGGAAAACCTCACTTTCCTCTATAATTCCTCTTAACTTAAAACCCAAGACTTAACCCTGGTATCGATACCTTATCCAAGGTATCGATACCCCAGCTGAAATACCTTGAAAGAAAAACGGGAGTATCGATGCTAGGACCTTGGGTATCGATACTTCTTAGAGAATCTGTACCCCCAACCCGTATCCAACGCGGATCTGAGTCCGATGTGTCACATCAACTTTTAAAACTTTTACTTATTTAAGAGTAATAAGAAATTTCTCGTAAAAAACTTCATATTATCTCATCATAAAAGTTTACAAACGTATCAGAGCATATGCTATTCAAATTGTTTATATTACATACCAACTATATCCAAAAGAATCAAATACATATTAAACATTTCTTTTCTGATCTGAACATTGTAAGGAAGATGCTAACCTGTCTTGCTCCTCTTAGATTCTCTTCTCGCTTCTGTAACCTACGTGTGAAACAATCACACGCTAAGTCTATGACTTAGTGAGGCAATTAAATATATAATGTAAACTATAACTTGTAATCATGCATGAACAATTACTGTTATCATATCATATCACTCATATCTTATTCATACTATCACCTATGTTCATATCCTATATCTTATAACAAATTCTTATATCATCATGTACTCATTTATACTTATTCACATATACATTAACCCATAACACATCTGTAATATATCATTATATATATAAGAACATAAACACATATACTCATCACTCATCATTTCCATCCTTAGCCTTATTTCATTATCAATATTATCATCATCTATGTCACTTAAACATATCCTTTTATATCTAACATTTTAACCAACATATGACTCATTTAATCATACAATCCACATATCATTGTATAAATTATGTACTACAATTCATATAACAAAAGCATATAAGTAACATGTAATGTTGATTTTTATCTCTTTATTAATCTTATTTTCATTCTTGATCTTTTAACCATTTGTTCTTATATCTATTCTTCTTAACCAAACTACATGCACATCATACAAGATTCTTTTCTCTCATCTCTTTTATTAGCCCATGTACATATGTGAGAACTTAAGGTATGTGAGTACATAGAGGTTGTTCACATATATGCTGTCACCACAGCTTGTATAAATGCATCGAAGTGCACGTAGAATTGCACCGAAGTGCAGCGTAGAAATGCACCAAAGTGCCATATAAAATGTTCATAAGGACCACATAGAAATTCCTTAAGAACCATATACATATACCAAGGACCAAATAAGTGTCTCAAAAGACCCCATAAATGTTCCAAAGAATGCATATATGTCCCAAAGGACCGCGTAGACCCTTAACTATTGGCATGCCAATTATACCCCTAGCTCTCGTGACACATAACATGGGCATTATCATTTAGGTCATTTCACATATTTATATAATCACATGGTTCCTTTACACATATCACATTTTCATGTATTTCACCTTCACATGAACATGTAATCATACAACTTATATTCACGTAGTTCCTATCACTTTTCATATGATTTCATATTCATATGTCACATATTCATTTCATTCCTCATGTCTTTATCACATATCTTATTTCATATTCTTATACAATCACAAATCTTATAGCTCAATCACTTATACATGTATTCTTATAATTTCTTATCATATCATATAATTTATATCATCATAACATAACATGTGCTCACATCAATCATATAAACACATATAATCACATAACTTGTCATTTCTTATGAGATCACTTATGTCATGTAACATATATATAGTTTATATCATTTCTCATATTTTCACCTAATTCCTTATATTTATCATATAAACATATACTCTTATAAATCATTTATATTATATAACCTATATCTTAGTTTCACATAATCACTATATCTCATATATTCATATACCACATGAACCAATCATTTCTTATGTAAATATCATATAACTTATATAATTACTGATATCGGTTTCTATATCTTATCACACTAGCATCTATTCACATCAATCATGTCACACATACCATAACATATAACCCAGACACTCATAACAAACACATGCTCATGTTAATACTTCATGTATAATACTATAGGAAATAGACTTGTCGCAAGTCTTATTTCCCATTAAACATCATATATGAAATAATGTGCACTCACCTGGCCTCACTATATTATACCGACCCCTTATCTCTTCTCGATGTCTAATACTTGACAACTTGTCCGAATATTGCTCTCGATCAAAATCTACACAATCATACGTATAATATACATATCAGCATTCCAAATACTATGGTTCGGTCCTTAATTTCTTAAGCTAAAAAAAAGGTCTAATTCACATTTTCTCTTGTAAGGGTTTATGTACACTCCATAGTGTATCGATACACTAATTACATTCGATATTTTCAATTTCAAGGTGGTGCATCGAT